ACATGGTCCTAGGTCAATCTCGGTTGGGATAATTCACTGGTGAACTCAAACTCCAGTCAAAACTCAAAATGGTCCTGCATTTGGAGAATCCTAATTCCGCCTCCTTAAGGTGCTTTTTTTTTTAAAAGCTTGACTGACAGCCCAGAATGCAAGTCCTTCCCACTTCAGCCCTTAACATCCCAACCTCAAGTATTTCAAATTATAGACCTGACCCCCCAAACCCCCAACTGACTCTCTCAATGTTCCCAAGCCTCTGTGCAAGTTACCATGCTCTCCAATGTGCAAAACCGCTAACAGCTGATACAACAGCCCAAAACCAACTTGTGCTTGGCATCTTTAAACAAACAAGATTCTCATGCACGACCAACTTTATCTTGAGGCTAGAAGGCAATTTGAAAAATTTCTTAGTGAATGAGTATTCATGGTATACAAGCATATTACATGTGGAAACCTGCCCCAGGGCATCACAAGGTCCAAAATGCCACAGACACCACCAACTTAAACTCGGCATCTCATCTTGTCCTCACAAAACTGTAATTTTGCATCCTGCCTAATTCACCAAACTCACCATACCACATTTCCCACTCTTGCAGATGATAATGGTCCCTCACTCCACAAGTTTCTGAATTCACATGTTATCACTTAGTATATAATAAAACAAGACATTTATCAATCAACAATGAGTAATATCATGGCTAATTTACTTGGGTATTCTGTGTCATACCCCTGTAATGTGCTTTCTGTTCAGGAGACTTAAATAAACATGAAATATTTTCATCACATCAATTTGTCAACAGAAGAAATTCTGTAAACATTCATAATATAAAACCTATTAAATGTCAAACTTTTACTGTCAAAATATTCACATTACTCAAAAAGTTTTTGGAAAAAGCTTTTGTCTACCACTTTGTTCTGCAACTGTAATTTCTAAATTTCAAAGTAAGGCTGTAAACAATCCAAAAATAAATGTTAATTTACTTATTCTATCGCAACATTATTACAGTTACACATTAACTAGCTTTCAGGCTTCACTTAAATAATCACTTCAAAGCTTTTTGTTCAATACTTCAGACTGTTTCAAAGCCCTTGACTCGATATTTTCTTCCTCATAATTTTGCACAAAATCTTCAACCTCATTTGTAAGAACCAAATACATGCAGTTTTCACAATATTCCAGATATAGGAATTTGAATTGTTTAAGTTTTATTTAGGCAGGTAGCATATAGTTAAGAACGTTGCTATGAACAGTTCACAGTATAAAACAGTAATATTTTCAGCACTTGCTTCCTCCAAAATTACCAGATCATTCCACCTCAGAATGCCAACTTCAGAATCCCCAGTTCTTGAAAACTACCTTCACAGTTCTGTTGGACATCTCAGTGTGAACTCTTGCACCACTCACAATCTTTGGACCTCACTCAGTACCCATAAAACAACTGACCAAAACAATCACCACTCCTCGATTCTCACACCGTCCCAACATTCAGACCTCTTCAATATTCCCCAATCTCAGAATGACCCTTGCCTACGTTGCTGAAATCTTTTTAATCACTGCACAGACATACACCTTAAACCCATTTATTGCTGATTACAGGTTCTGAACTAGTCTCTCTGTAACCCAGTCATAACATGCATTGACCTTAGTCACATCGATGCTTGCCTTTTACATAAAGAATTCCGGTATGTGACCTTTCCATTGCTCATCAGCTGTGCAATGCAAACTAATAAATGTTGTGATTATCAAAATTTATATCACAGGAAGTGATACAGAGTCAGAAGATGCAGAACCTGTACAGTTAAGAGTTGAGGAACCGCAAAGAACAAAAAAGCCCGGATGGGATTTTTTAAAATAGAATCCATGTAGTGTGGAAACAGGCCCTTCGGCCCAACAAGCCTACACCGACCCTCAGAGCATCCCACCCAGACCCACTCTCCTATAACCCACCTAATCTACACATTGTTTAACACTACGGACAATTTAGCATGGCCAATCCACCTAGCCTGCACATCTTTGGACTGTGGGAGGAAACCGGAGCACCTGGAGGAAACTCATGCAGTCACGAGGAGAACGTGCAAACTCCACACAGACAGTCGCCCAAGGGTGGAATCGAACGCAGGTCCCTGGTGCTGTGAGGCAGCGGTGCTAACCACTGAGCCACCTATGTACAGGCCTCCTAGCAGCAGTCAGGATGTGGACAGAAAATAAATCAGGGAACAGAAAAGGCATTTAGAAAAGGCACTATTAATCATGGAGGACTTTGATATGCAGGTGAACTGGGAAAATCAGGTTGGTAGCATATCCAAAGAAAAGGAATTTGTGGAATGTCTATGAGATGGTTTTTTTCAGAGTAGCAAGTGGTGGAGTCCACAAGGGAACTGCGATTCTGGATTTGGTGATGTCTAATGAGGAAGACTTGATGACGCACCTTAAGGAAAAGGAACCCCGAGGGGACGGTGATCATGATATGATAGAATTCACCCTGCAGTTTAAGAGAAGGAAGCTGGATTCAATTGTAATGGTTTTACAATTGAGTAAAGGTAACTACAAAGACAGGAGGGAGGAGCTGGCCAGAGCTGATTGGAAGGAGAGCCTAGCAGAGATGATGGAGGGGCAGCAATGGCAGGAGTTTCTGGGGATAATTTGGGAGGCACAGCAGAAATTCATCCCAAGGAAGAAGAAACATACCAAGGGGAGAACAGGGCAACGATGGCTAATAAGGGAAGTCAGGGATAGCATCAAAGCAAAAGAAAAAAACATGCAATGTGGTGAAGATTTGTGGGATGTCAGAGGATTGGGAAGTCTTTAAGAACCAGCAGAAGACAACTAAAAAGAACAATAACGGGGGAAGAGGATGAAATCAGGGTAAGCTAGCTAGTAATATAAACAAAGACAGCAAGCGTTTTTCAGATATATAAAAGGTAGTGAGGCAAGAATGGGCATTGGACTGTTGAAAAATAAGGCTGAAGTAGTAATGGGGAGCAAAGAAATAATGGAGGAATTGAATGGGCACTTTGCATCAGTACTCACGGTGGAAGACACCAGCAGCATACCAGGACTTCGAGAGAATTAAGGGCAGAGCTGAGCATAGTGGCCATCACTAAGGAGAAATTGTTGGGGAAGCTGAAAGGTCTGAAGGTGGATAAATCACTGGACCAGATGCACTACACCCCAGAGTTCTGTAGGAGATTGTAGAGGCATTTGTTGTGATCTTTCAAGAATCGCTGGAGTCAGTGAGGGTCTCAGAGGACTGGAAAATGGCGAACGTACCACCCGTGTTTAAGAAGGGAGGGAGACAGAAGGCAGGAAACAATAGGCCAGTTAGCCTGAGCATGGTCGCTGGTAAGATTTCCAAGTCCATATAGAGTACTTTAGAAGTGCATGGTAAAACAAGGCTGAGTCAGCATGGCTTTGTCCACAGGAAGGTCTGCTTGACAGTTCTTTGAAATGGTAACAAGCAAATTACACAAAGGAGAGCCAGTGGACATGATCTATTTGGATTTCCAGAAAGCCTTTGACAAGGTGCCGCTCAGAAGGCTGCTAAATTAGACAACAGCCTATGGTGTGAGGGACATGGATAGAGGACGGCTGACTGGCAGAATGCAGAGAGCGGGGTTAAAGGGAACTTTTTCAGGTTGGCAGCCGGTGAGTAGTGGAGTTCCACAGGGGTCCATGTCATTACCACAACCAGTTACGTTATACATTAATGATCTGGACGAAGGAACAGAGGCATTGTTGCTAAGTTTGCAGATGACGCAAAGAAAGGTGGAGGAGCAGGTAGTGTCAAGGAAGCAGGAAGGCTGTAGAAGGACTTGGACAGGCTAGGAAAGTGGGCAAAAAAGTTACAGATAGAAGACAATGTGGGGAAAGTGTGAGGTTATGCACTTTGGTAGGAAGAATAGAGGTATTGACTATTTCTGAATGGAGAAAACCTTTGGAAATCTGAAGCAAAATGGGATTTAGGAGTCCAAGTTCAGGATTCTCTTAAGGTTAACATGCAGGCTTAGTTAGCAGTCAGGAAGACAAATGCAATGTTAGACTAATTTCAAGAGGGCCAGAATACAAGAGCAGAGATGTACTGCAGAGGCTGTATAAGGCACTGGTCAGACTGCATTTGGAATATTGTGAGCAGTTTTGAGCCCCGTATCTAAGGAAGTGCTAGCGTTGGAGGGGATCCAGAGGAGGTTTACAAGAATGATTCTGGGGATGAAGGGCTTGTCACATGAGGCGTGGTTGAGGCCTCTGGGTCTGTACTTGATGGAGCTTAGAAAGGTGAGGGCAGATCTCATTGAAGCTTACTGAATACGGAGACACCTGATCTGATTGAATGTGAGAAGATATTTCCACGCGTAGGAGAGACCAGGACCCGAGGGTACAGCCTCAGAGTGAATGGATGATCCCTCAGAACTAAGGTGATAAGGAATTTCTTCAGTCAGAGGGTGGTGAATCTGTGAAACTCAATGCTGCAGAAGGCAGTGGAGGCCAAGTGATTGAGCATATTTAAGACACAGATAGATAGGTTCTTAATGAGCAAGGGGATAAAGGGTTAGGGGGATGAGAAACACGATCGAATGGCAGATCAGACCCGATGGGCCGAGTGGCCTAATTCTGTTCCTGTATCTTATGGTCTTATCCAAAATGGTATTGGTTTAGAAATGCATATTTTTATATCAACCACCCAAAAACCTTGAGCTAGGTGCACAATCCCTTGATATTACCGAAGATTGAGGAGTTAGTAAGATACTACAAAAGAAAATCCTTAATGTATCAAATTAAACCAATAATTATTTAATAAAATATTGCCTGTAAATGACCTTAAAATCCTGAAATAGTTTCATTTAATTCAGGCCATAAGTCTTAGTTTTAATACCACTTACACATAATTGGATGCAGGTCCCAGCTCACAAAGGACTAAAAGGAACTCAGAATCAAACATAATAAAAATGTTCTAGCGGACATTTGTTCTTTATTAAGTGAGTTTCTTCCTTTACTGAACACTAACCTTGGAATGTTTTGGCTGGTTTTCACACTTGGCAACATCATCATCAGAAACCTTTGTACTGGTAAAACTGTCCATGGAGCACGAGGACACTGCTTGGCACAGATCATCAAAATCTTTATCCTGGTTCTCTCGGATTTCCAACAAAAGCTTTGACAGCTCCCCAGTTAGTGCTTCACCTGCCAACAAAGGATGCAATATTATTCCTGCGAAACCGAAAATGTTCAATGCTTGAACAGAAGTGTAATTATAGGAATGATGTTTGTCGATGAATTGTAATGGGAAAGTTTTGGAAAATGGTTCAACCTATTTAGAAAGAACATATTTCATTCAATAACTCAAGATGATACACAAGAGCACTGCTTCTGACTTGTGAATCTTGACACAGTTCAACTTCTGTTTGTAAATCTCCAATAATTAGAATTTTGTTTTAACTCATTCACAGGATGTGGTCATCGCTGGTTAGGCCAGTATTCATTGCCCTTCCCATTTGGCCAGAGGGCAGTTAAGAGTCAACCACATTGTTGTGGATCTGGAGTCACACATCAGCCAGACCAGGTAAGGACAAGAGCTCACTAAAGTGAACCAGATGGGTTTTTAATCCAGACAATCAACAGTGGCTTCATGGTCATCATGGATTCTTAATTCCAGAGGTTTTTTGAAAATGGAATTCAAATTCTACCATCTGCCATTGTGGGATTCAAACTTGGGTTCCCAGAATATTAGTTGGCTCTCTGGATTAATAGTTCAATGATAATACCAAGAGGCCATTGCCTTCCCTAAACTGTAACCAACATTGTGCTAGATGTGATACTGAATCATACTGTATGGTGATCCAATTCATTGCCAAACTGAAATACTTTGGCCTTATCGCCTATCCTAACAGGAATTGTCTTTAACCCAAGATTAAGATTATTCTGTATTCGGAATGCCCTTCCTAACAACACTGGGAAGACACCTACACCCCAAGGATTATAGTGGTCTGAAAAGAGCTGACTGCCACCTTCTCTTGGGTAATTAGAGATGGGCAATAAATGCTGATTTAGCTCGTAATCTCCACCAATCCCATGAACGAATATAAAAGAGCCCAACAATTTTGTATTGTTGAGAATTTAAAAGATTCATATGCAAGATAAGATAAGGTCCAAATTATCTTCATCACTAAATGTCCTCAGTGAGTTTGTAAATCAGTTTGTACCTACAAATGAAGATTCAATGAAGTCAGTCATCCCTTCTAAAATCCCACTGGCCACAAAATTGTGCACAAGTTCAGATTTAACATACTTTACATGGTTATAACAAAGAAAAAGGAAACCTTTTCTCTCACCTTTCACTTATATTCCTTAGCCTATTTTTACATGTGTATGAATCCTGACCTTTTAAAACTGCTGTAAAATCTCTTCAATAGTGTGCAAAACCCTCAGATGGTCAAATGGGAAGCAAACAGACAATGGAAGAATTGGGCCTTCGCAACAGATGGTCAACTTCTGCAGATTCTGTGACAAAACAAAACTGCAGTTTTCTGAGATAGTAGGAACTGCTGATGCTGGAGAATCTGAGATAACAAGGTGTAGAGCTGGATGAACACAGCAGGCCAAGCAGCATCAGAGGAGCAGGAAAGCTGACGTTTCAGGTTTAGACCCTTCTTCAGAAAATGAAGAAGGGTCTAGACCCAAAACGTCAGCTGTGTTCATCCAGCTCTACACCTTTTTAACTGCAGTTTTCTAATGGCTTTACCCATGACACGGTCAGTAAATGGAATAGAGAATTATAGAGTTCCTAGTCTGTGCTGGGTTTTTGTAGATCCCACTCAGGGAGAAGCTTCAACTAGCCTCAATGTCATTGAGTATTGGATGGCTTCCATAATTGTGATCATTATCTGGTCATCTCAAAAGTACACGTGTGGATTTTGTGTTAGGAAGCTGTCCATTCACAACCTCTTCCAACAGCCAGCATCATGCATCACATTTCACAGGAAGATAGAAACACGAATAATTTGGATGAACAATACAATGAGGCAGCAGGTCAAGCAGGTTTCCATGGTTGCAACCTCCATGCTGAATTCATGACTGACTTCATGTGCATTGAGAGTTAATGTTTCTAGTTGAAATGCATTAAAAAGCATTTTTATTTCTAACATAAAAAATATTGGTATAACAATCAGCACATGATGGATCCAATTCCATTTATGAGAGCAACCATAAACCATGTAATCCGTTCATCATTCATGAGCAATCTATCAGCTCTTACTCATACTGACAGTTATCATAAAGTATAGCATTTCTAACTCATAATTATTTCATATATGACATATTAACTTCAAAGTTTTTTCGATTGCACCCCTCTGCAAGATTTTGGAGTTAAGATGACATAATTACTGTACTGCCAATTTACTGAATGAAGTGGCAGAACCTGCTTTAACACAAGACCTCGGGGGAGATTAAATAAACACACATTATTTGCACTCGCTATGTTGAAACTTTGCCATGCATTGCAACTGTACGTTATGTTATATCTGTTCAGCAATGAGTACTTGACAGAACTTAGTTTCAGAATGCAAGCTGTAGCCATAAGTTGATCAACTATCACTGGCAAGAGCGTCATCTGGATGCCCTATTATAGCTACTATTGACATTTATTCTCATTGTGCAGACTTCACCGAGCATCTCCATTTTATTGAGGAGAGGAGAGAAAAACTGAATAAAACTGGTTCACTTGGAAGTGGCAGTGAACCTGTTCGCTTCCGCATTAATAAAGCTGAAAACGAGCATCAGGATCCATTTACATTTGAAAATTATGCAGTTCATACAGGGTCAACTGACAATAGCAATTAGAGCTGCTCAAGAATCATACAGTAAAGAACATCAGAACACGTTACAAATCCTGTCCAAATCAAACAACTGCAGCAAAGTAAATATAACGACTATGATGGTTATCAAAACTTATGATAAGCAAGTCTTAATTTGACTGCATAGAAAGAAATGTAGAGTGTCCGATGTCAATAGACCTACAGGACAGAGAAAAGAATAAAGTGAATGACAATGTTGAGTTAGCACATATATTTAAGCTGGTTAAAAATGCTGCAAAGCAAGCTGATCTAAGTCTGTCAGTGTACCCAAAATGAAGTTGGCAAGCAAAAAGAAAGAACAGGAGGCAAGATAGCATTGTAATTTCTACTGCTTTGATTTCTAGATGCGTTTGTAAAGTGAACATTTTATCACCCAAGACTGAGTTGTCTAAATGCAGCTGAGGGATAGAATGAGTAATTACAGGGTTATATCCGTTCCCAGCCTTGTTACATAACCACATAAGGCACACAGCTTTCAAATTATTGTGATCCATGTTATCTCTTGTGCTAAACAATTAAGCTGCACCATAGAAGTGAATAAAAACATTGTTGCAGACAGACAACATTATTCTGCATGCAATGCAATGATATTTATTCATTGCAGATAATAAAATGCAACAAAGACATGTCCAGAAAACTTCAGAGTTTTTATTAATTTTTTTCCCAAAACTGTTCTGAATCTGACACTGATCGTGGCCACCATAGGGGGCAGTAAAGACCATTACAACATAATATTCAGATGTCCTTGGCATCATAGCATCACAGGAACTGTACTCCCTCTATCTGCTGTTTTGAGTCTATGATATTATAGAAATATATTTCTTGAATATGATGGTGAATTTTACTCAGTCAGAAGAGAACTACTCTTAATTTAGAAGTAAAGCACTGGCAGACATTATCCAGAAAGGAACATTAATAATACACGCTGAAACAGCAGCATTACAGAAGGGCAGTTGGAGAAATATTGATCCCCTATCATTTGAATGATTGTTCAGTGAATAATTTCAACACTGGGATAATCAATTTTATGATAAGAGTTCTCACATCCCCTGGCATACGAAATTTGAAAACAGTTTTCCAAAATTAAAAGCAATGCAGAGCTATAAAACATCAGTCTTGACTTAATAGTCAACAGAGTCCTATCATAGAACATAGAACATAGAACATTACAGCGCAGTACAGGCCCTTCGGCCCTCGATGTTGCGCCGACCTGTGAAGCCCATCTAACCTAAACTATTCCATTATCATCCATATGTTTATCCAATGACCATTTAAATGCCCTTAA